TAAATTTGTACATGATCTTGTGATTTTCGCCCATTCAGCAAGCACGCTATATTGATGTCAGCATTAGCAAGTTCCAGAAACCCAGAAACGTGCCTTTGAAAATTTTCAGTTCTCGTGATGTTTCTTGATATTTCTTCTATCATTTTATGGAGATGTAAACTGAAGTCACCGCAAAATGGAAACTTAAAAAAGCGTATAATCCATTTATCTCAAAACATAATACACATGACTTATATGACCTTTATTTTTCTTAAGGTGTTTTGAATACGAACGAACACAGTCAATGTGAGGGGCAAGAACAGCATTAATATACTCAGTAAATGAACCATAGGGTTTTTAACTAATATAAGGGCCAATTATTGTTCATTGAGATGAATCACTTGAAAAGAGAGACTTCGCTTGAAGATGTGATCAGAAGTAAACAAAGTCACAATACTGCGTCACGTTCAGTCTTTTTAATATCCAAGGACTGAATAGTGATTCCGTATTGTTTAGCTGGCACAAAAACTTTGGAGGAGTTATAAAGCAGCATAGTTATCGTCCAGGAAGAAAAGTTAGTCATGGGTGAGACAAACAATGAACTGGAGCGAATTTTTAACTCGTATCGGTATCAGGTAAAAAATATGTTGTCGATCGTTTCATCTATTTACATTGTTTGAAGTGCGTGCTGTTGAAAGCAACATGCGAGCAAGAAATCTTTAAACTTTTTTAGGTCACAAAATACAAAGGATGTTATTCCTTTAAGTTAGGGAAAAATACCAAGAGGAAATTCTTAGAACTGAATATTTTTTATCTTGTGGAAAAAATACTGTGTCTTCATGTAGACTGTAGACCGCAAATGACGATCGTCTATTTACTGCACGTCTCACAAACATGCGAATTCTAAAGTGCAGAAGCCAACCCACGATTGCATTTTTCGCTGCTGTCAATCATCTTATCTTAACGGACCTGACCTCTTAGGAAACAAAACTTTACTTCACGGGTTCAAAAGGTCATGGTTTGTGATTTGTGGATTTCGATCCATTTTGTTTCTCTGTTTCAAGGTTCATCGCTTGTGATCGTAATTATGATTGACAGCAGCAGAAAACACAATTGTGAAGGTGGCTTTTGAAGTTTAGAGTTCGAATGTTTGTGGAAAGCACAGCAAAGTCTCAGTGCAGTCAGAGGGCCCCGGATCAGGCGGGATCAGTGTGCAGTTGGCTGTCTGTTTTAGTATACTTCTGGTGTTCATACAATACATTATTTCTGTCTAGTGTTAATCAGCTCCGTCCGTCGCACTTTATGCTTGTAGAACGACAACAATTTTTGGAATTTCCGGTTACGTCAAATTAGTCACGTTATACTGTCACGCTATATTTTGGGACACAGAGGGATTGGGGAAGGGGTGCGCGAAAATAATGCAAATCGTTTCCTGCTTAGAATTAATGGCTAACTTGTTTATCTTTATTCATAATGGTGGAATTTAAAAGTTATTATACAGCCCCCACTTAAAAATGGTACTCTTTTTTTTTGGTTACAAAAGTCTTTCAAAAGGGTACAATGTTCTGAATGAGTTTATGTTTCAATCTCACATAAGATTCTGTCGCATGCAATGGTCGGCAACAAAGTTTTGTAGTAGCCTGAGTGTGTATAGCCGCCCCCTCCCCTCAGAAAATATAGCCCCTTTGCAGCCCAGTTAAAAATCGCCTTTCGGCGATTCTTGTTCCAGACCAAAATGAGCAAAATCAGTACTTGTTTCAGACCAAAAGGCCCAAAACACTACCTGTTGGGGCAGCACATACCTTTATGGCTTATACATGATAGTACCCTCTAGTTATAGCACACTAGATCGAAATTCCCCGGGCAGTGCACACTTTAGTTTCAGCTAGACCTATAGTATTCAGTGGCGGGATTGCCCAGTTATTTTATTCGATCAAATTGTTCTTTTATAGTTGTATAGCAGAGATTATTATTTTCGTCTAACATCAGCATCAAAAACAACCTTGAAAAATGGGAGGTGTTCCTCTTCCTATTTGAGAAGGTTGCCTTTTTTCCATTACAACCTTTCAGTAAATGAAAGATACTATTTCTTATGGCTGCAGCAGTCACTGCAGCCTTTTTAGGCTGGTTCTTGACTATATAAGCTGCGAGGTCATTGGATGAAACTGCTATGAACTTGCACATGAACAACCTGACGGTTTAATCATTGGGATGATGAACATCCCACATACCTGAAATTAATTAACGCTTTGAATAAAGCATCAGTCACCCACATCTATATCTGCTCTACCATTTTTGTGACAAGTGAAGATTTATCTGTAATTGTAGTTTACACAATGGAAAGATTCTTTTCTCTCACAGCTGATAACGTTGCTCTATTTTTATCAGTGCTCTTTTTTTTGTCAATTATCAGTCTTTCAACTGGCTTGCTAAAATATGAGGTTGCTTATGTATGGCAATGATAGTCAAATATGTTGAAATATTACAAGGTTAGTGGTAAAGGAATTATTTGGGCCAACTTACGTGTTTACTACCACCAAGAGCTCAGACTCCAAACTCCCTAAACTTACTCAGAAAAATACATCTTAACTTGACGAAAATATCAGTTCCATTATCAAGGAGAAGTAGTCAAAGAGCAGTATATTTGACAGGTATAGACAGGTATGAGCGTCTACATTACCTTTCGTACGTCTCCTCGTGATTCTATTTTCTTTATGGCTTCGTTGTTAGCAAGCCCTACCTTTTTTTCACAGCAGACCCCCCAGGACCTTTGGTCTTGGTTTTTGATGTCAATTGATTCCTTGCAGAGGAATATCCCGGAAATACCACATTCTTGAGGCACTGTCTCACAATTGTCATTTTTTCTTCCAGTTTATTTTCTGAGGAATCTGACAAAGAAAATGTACATTATTCAAGATCCACATGCAAGGTGTTCAGACATGAATTGTTGCGGTATGAGAAATCAAAGTTTAGCTATCAGCTATCCAGTGAGCAGGCTCACTTGTGCAAATTCTGGGAAAATTATTCTGGCCAATAGAGAGCAATGTGAATGCGCGCGTCAAATTATTAGCACTCGCCAATTGTTCATGATTATTGCCATGGCAATGATAATAAATAAGTATTAATTTACTTAGAGGGACATCTTGACAAGGTTCACACGAGGTATTTAGTGTTGAAATACATTGCGATTCTACTAGACGATTGAAAATTACAATACCCCGTGTCTCCTTCCCAAAAAGTCAGGTTACTCATTTACAATGTACAATGCTAAATTTGAGTGGTTTTGTTCCTGGCAAAATCTATTGTTAGGTTAAATCTTTCACCTCATTAGGGTTAGCTCTGTGGTGGGGTTAAGGTTAGTGCTGGTTTTATATTGTGTGAACAAGAAATCGCTGGAAGAACAGAACATGTCTTTATAAGTTTAGACAAGAGACTGTACCCATAAAAAAAAATTCAATTCACTAATTGCAACATTAGCAAAACCCTTATTCACAGCATTCACGATAGCCCTACCGTGTTCTTTTCTCCACATTTCTACGGCAGTATCAACATATTTCAGAGTTTTCAACTTGTCACGCTTGTCCAGAACTTGATCAATGTGGAAATGAGTGAGTTCTTGGAGAATGGTGGTTGATACAATAGGTCCAGAGGTATTTTCAGACACCAACTTTTTCCTATACGTTTCCATCTTTACACTCAAAGATTCTCTCTGTTCTCTGTTTACATTCCTGACAGGCTGATAGACAGTGGTATTGGATTCAGAATTTGCTCCAACAGTCAACTTTGTTTTAATAACACAGTCACTGTCATCACAGATACAACTACTCGCACAAAAGTCACAACAATCGTGTCCAGTAACAGCAGAAATAAAATTGCCTGGAAAGTATTGATACATTTACTTTATCCTGCATTCTTTGACATATTCTATGTAGTTCTTCACATCTGAGGAACAATGTGCAGCCATTAAACCATTGTACAAAAGGACACTTGCTGTGCTCATCATCTAGGCCCACCCTTCCTCATTTTTGAACTTGACACTCCAAATGTTTTTGAGGGTCCAATGTGAATGACGTAATGCACCACTGAACAGTTGATCCCCACAGCAAAAGCCACTCTACAATCAAAAACTCTCATGTGACCGATTTACTGGGCGAAATTATCCAAAACATGTTTCTTAACTGTGTCTGGAGTACCAGCATGGAACATTTCCACCATTCGCTGCTTTGCATCTGGTTTTCTATTGACATAGTACAAGTCATCAGAGAGCGAGTCAACAAAGGTTCTGTAAACTGCTAGGCCGGGTACACTGTTAGGGAGCACTCCTGATAAAGCATTAAGTACTTTGCAAACACACTTCACCGCAGCATAAAAGTCTGCCACTATTTTCACACAGGTGGACTTTCGTCAGTGCATATTTTTTCATAATTTATGCAAAATTATATACCCTGGCGGCAGGATCCTGGAACAGTATTAATGACAGGGTTACGCAGATATTGCTTATCCACGTGCAACAAAGGAAATAGATGTCTACACACAGGTAATTTTTGCATTAACACAACCATACAAACAAAACAAACTGAGGATCAAAGTCTCATTTAAATATAAAAAACTGATCTGAATTGACTTGTTACTTCTTGAGTAATTGACACAATATTGAATAAAGCCATCGGATTTGTTACAGTGTATAAGAAACAATAATGTAAGGGTAATATTGATCACTACTCGAATTTACATGTTAAATAGTGCTCTTGGCAATCATTATGGAACGGCATCTATACACGCTTTTAATAATTCGGGGCGCCATCTTGAATTTTTAATTTATGACGTCAATCGCGGAAAGATTTCCACGTGGCCAACATGGCTACGCAGGATGAACCCGCAGTTTGTACATGTACTGAGGTGAGTTTTCCCTTTAAATCAAGTGTACTTTTGTAAACACAAATGTCTTTAGTGGCGAAACAAAATTTAAGTTGGTGCTTTTGAATTTATTTCAGCTTTCGTCCGAGGATATTCCAGGGTCAATGATATCGAGGGCCGATTTAGAAAAATGCAAAAAAAGCGAATTAAAGTTCTGGCTTAACTGCCGTGGCTTACGTTATAAGTCAACAGAAACAAGAGCTGAACTTCTTTCAAGGTAAACGTTTATTATAGACCAACTTGTTTTTATTTTTGATTGTTTATGCGGCGTTTTTGTCAAACGAAAACGATAACATTAATGCGATAATTAAGCTTATTACCGACGTGACCTCTCTTGAAGGTTTGTAAGTTTGTTTGCACCGATTACCTTTCAAAATGTACTATAATACTATCTCCATTGAATGTTTCTGTTTTCGATCATTAGCGTTTAAGTATTTATGTATCGCTTTTAGGGTAAGACAGAACTTGGATAAAGATTTTATTCTGATCGACCCTGATCCCGGGAAAGCATACACACGAGCAAAAAAATTGTAAATTAAACGAGACTTACCTGTAAGGTGAAGTTTGATTGAGGTTCTACCAGGTCATCACAGCAGCAGAGATTACATGAGAGATAGCGCATGCGCATAGCTGGTCAATATTAAAAGCACTGAGTGTCCGTATGTAATAAAAAGAAGACCCAGTAGGCCCATAACAGGATATGGGCTGAGTATGAAACCAGGGAGGGTAACAACTGGGAGGGCATGTAATCTCTGCTGCTGTGATGACCTGGTAGAACCTCAATCAAACTTCACCTTACAGGTAAGTCTCGTTTAATTTACAATTCTACCAGGTCATCGCAGCAGAGATTCCATGAGATTTCAAAGCCATATGGACACGAAGACAAAATAAACAAGGAACACCTATAAAACACAACTGGTGTCCTAGTTTATTAACTGTAGTAGAAAAACCAAGACCTAGAAAGCTAGGCTAATACATTAATGCTGGTACCAAGAACAGCTTGGCCAAAACGAGAAACATTATCTTCAATAGGTTTGTTGTAAAACTTACGGAAAGTGCAATCTCCTTTCCAAGACGCTGCCTTAAGAATCACATCTATAGGCACCTGGCATGCATTTGCTTTGCTGGTAGAAGCAGCTCTGGTACTATGGGGTTTGAACACTTCCACATCAATACCAGCCTTGATCATAACATTCTTAATCCAACGTGAAATAGTGTCCCTAGACACGGCCTGGTAGGGTTTAACAAAACTAATAAAGAGTCTGGTTTCTCCACCTCTAAGGGGTGCAGTACACTTAATGTATTCTGAGAGAACTGAGTAAACGCAAACCCTGCCATCTGCTGGGAAGGCAGGAAGGATAAGCTCTGGTAGATTCCTGCCTGGAGCTGACTGCTTAACAATATCCTTAATAATAAATTTATAGTGGTCAGTATTTTTCTGCATACTAGTAATATCCATAAGATGGAAAGACTGACATCGCTGACCTGTAACCAGTGCTATTAACATAACTAGCTTATGGGTAAGCTCTTTAAGGCTTATGCTTTCCAGCGGTGGAAATGTTTGAAGGTATGTCAAAACGCTTGTGGGATCCCAGACCGACTGGTATCTAGGTATACTAGGCCTATTGTTAAATACAGCCTTCAAAAAACGGTTAACTAATGGGTGAGAACCCACAGTTTTGTTATCATCTAGGTGGATAACAGATGATAGAGCACAACGAGCAGTATTCAGGCTACTGTAGCCGAGTCCACTATCAAACAGTTCAGTTAAGAAATCTATGACTTCTGATATAGCTGGTTGAATGGGATCAGTATTCCGTCCACTGCTGAATGTGGTCCACCGCTGTAAGTATGTTCGGTACTGTTTCTGGGTTCCTTCCCTCCAGGACTGCAGAATGAGCTCTTGAGCCCTCGCTGAAATGCCTTTATTTTGGAGACTTTCCCTGATAAGTGACATGCCATCAGCAGCAGTTTTGCCCCAATGGGTGTTCTTTCCCTGGGTTGAAGGGGAGGTGTACGATGTTGGGACGATTGGGGAGTAGCACTGGGGTCTGCACCAGAAGTCTTGTTAATTTGGGAAACCAGGACTGTGTTGGCCAATGAGGGGCTATCATGATTGCTTCTGCTTGATCCTCCTCCACCTTTTGTAGAACTTGTGAAATTAAACTGAAGGGAGGAAAAACATAGTTATATTGTGTTCCCCAGTCTAATGTAAAAGCATCTACTCCAACAGCATTAGGATCAGGGATCCATGAAACATAACGAGACAGTTGATGGTTAAGTCTGGATGCGAATAAATCAAGGTCAGGTTTGCCAAATAAGGAAAAAATTTCTGACACCACTGGTTGGTCCAGTTTCCATTCTGTTTTGTCATTAAAAACCCGGGAAGCAGAGTCTGCTTCGATATTCTCGACCCCAGGGATATGTGCAGGTGTGATCCAGATATCTCTGTCCTTGCACCAAAGCCATATGTCTCTGGAGATATCATTACAAGGGGTAGAATGGGATCCCCATGTTCCTCAGATATGATACAGTGGTGGTATTATCAGACAGAACTTTAATGTGGCAGTGATGTTCTGAAGGGCATAAAGCCTTGAGGCCCCAAAAACAGCGAGGAGCTCTAGGGCATTAATATGCAGTTGAGCTTCTTCCGGGGACCACCTGCCACCTGTGGAAATCCCATCTGAAAAGGCTCCCCACCCTTGGGTAGAGGCATCTGTTTTGAGTTCTCTTGTGATTTTCCCATGACTAATCTTCCTTTTGCATGTTTTGGCATGGTTCATCCACCAGACTATGTCATTTTTTTGCTGTTTCAGACAACATCATAGGACTTTCAAAATTCCAGTTGGAATTTTTTTTTAGAGCAGTTGATTTTTCAATCTCAAGTTGTCTGTAAAAAGTCTAGCATACTCTACACCAGGGAAAAAAGATACCATAATGCCCACTAAACGAGCAACCAGTCTAACAGGAACAGATGTAGATTGCAATACCTGATGTGCTGAGGCAAGTAGCTTGCCAAAATTGTGATCTGTTATGCTAACAGACATGTCTAAGGAATTTAAAATAAAACCCAGATGTTCAAGGATCTGTGTAGGTTGGACAACTGATTTAGCCAAATTAGGGCAGAAACCCAAGTCCCCTAAAAGGGTTAAGGTATCCTGGACATTGGATGAGCAGGCCACACTAGTGTCTCCTTCTAAAAAGGAGTCGTCTAAATACCCACTAGAAACATGTCCTTTGAGTCGGAGGTATGCATACACAGGTTTGAGTAATTTGGTGAACACTCTGGGAGCACAGGCAAGGCCCTGCGCAAGGCAAGTAAACTGATAAAGCTTTCCTTTCCATAAAAACTTAAGATATTTTTGATGTGACCGGTCAACAGGTACAGAAAAATAAGCATCTGAAAGATCAATAGATGCCATAAAACACCCAGGTTTCATCAAGTGAACACAGGTTTCAATATTATCCATCTTAAAATGATGGTAAGCAATAAAGCGATTGAATTCTTTCAAATTCAGAATCATTCTGAAACTCCCATTTTTCTTAGCTCGGAGAAAAACGGGGGATATGAATCGGTGGATTCATGTTGGGACTCAACAATGATACCCCTAGACAAAAATTTTGAATCTGCTGATCTAAGGCCACTGCTGCCTCAGTATACAGAATGGTAGGTCTAACTCTACCTAGTTGAACAGGCTGTATGTCATAAAACTCAAGTTTGTAGCCCCGTGCGATGGACAGAATAGTTCTGTCAGAGGTAATTTCTTGCCACTTGGCCAGAAAATTCTTAATTCTTCCACCAGTAATAAGGGTGGGTACAGAGCTTACCTTAGGTTGAGTCATGACTGTTTCACAGTCTGTTTCATTGTTTTCGTCTCGGTTTTGCGAGGTTCCTTCCTGTATGAGGGGTGATTGCTCCTCTGATAGCCTCTGCCATGGTTGCTGTACTGGTTGAAGGGGCGCTGGTTGCGCCCCCTTGGCCCAAAAAGACCGTGATGGCCCTTTATACTTCTGAGAACTTGGCTTGTTGGATCTTGTAAGCTGTTTGGCTGCTTTGTTACTCTCGGTAACTGTTTTCAGCCGCTCGCTAGGGTCGTCACCAAACAGTTCACTTCAATTGGGTGCTTGTTATTACACAAGGCCTTGTAGCTGTCATCTAAATCTGTTTTGAACAAGTCACGGCGGCAAATATTCAAGCTGTGGTTAGCCGCCGCTACAAGAAGAAGGGAATTCGATAGAGCTTCCCATAGGGTCTCTTTGGTTGGCATTGCAGCGCCTGAATCCAAAGATTCACCCACTTTTCCTGTCATGTCTGCAAGAGGAATAAGCCCTTTAATCAGGGTGTCTTGCAAAGCTTGAAGTCTAGCATCCATGCTTCGTGTTGGCTTTTTAGCGATGTCCCAAATCTCGGAATTGACACGAGTTTGGGCAAGTAATGTGCTGTTTGTGGGCCTATGAATGTTCTCTTTTAAGCCGCTTAGTGGCTTGATCATTAAGACCACTGGCGAGGATGTTGTTAAAACGTTTGCGATTTTTTTTCCGAAATCGCTGGCCCGTGACTTCGTCCTCGGTCACCGGTGACAAGTGAATCCACTTTGCCAGTAGTATCTGTCGTTTTGGAACGGGGTTGTTCGTCCGGTTGTGGCGTGATTCTGGGTCGCTTTGGCGGAGGCCCTTCCTCATTCTCGCTTTCAGCCAACGAAGGGCGTCGACATCATCCACATCTTGCAATAGCCAGGCATCGTGAGACTCTTGTAAAGTTTTGACAACGGGCACCATGTCTTGCACGAGGCTTGTCAATAGGTCGAGTTTGTGGAGAAGCCTAGCTTCTCCCTCGCCTTCAGCAGAGTCAGCAGCCTGACTCGTGTTTTATGGCAGATGTGGATTGTTGTTTTGGAGATCGAGACGATCCTGTAAGCGTAGTTCCTTTGCTTGTCAAATTCGGCGAATTTGACTCGGTCAGTGACTCCTTGGTCACATCAAGGATTTCATCAAATACGCCGGAACCCGGCGTAGGCATTTTAGTGAATGAAAAAACACGGCAGTTATAAACTTTGCTTCGCAAAGATTGCCGATGTATGATAAATAAGAAATATAACTTTACGATGGTGAAGATAGACACCGGATTGTGATGGGCTAACAGACCAGCCTTGCCAAAATGGCGACGCAAGCACAAAATTGACCAGCTATGCGCATGCGCTATCTCTCATGGAATCTCTGCTGCAATGACCTGGTAGAAGCAAGATGCAGATTTTGTTCTGGGGAGGAGCAGCTTAGAAATCCAGAAAGCCAAGAGCCCGAAGCACTGGTTACAGATACAGATGTAGACGTTGAAGAGAGCTGGAGTACTGATACCTCAGTTCTTCCAAAGCGTTTTTCTTACCTTAATATTGTTGAACATGCCAAAAAATCCGGAAGAGAAGCAAAAAGCTATGTTGAAAAGCCCCTCGAAAAGGGGTACAAGTTTTTCTATGAAAATTATTGTCACGATGTTTTATGTAAGCTTGAAGAAAATGAAATCCATGTAAAAGGGAAGTGCTTTAGATCACAAAAGAAAAATGAAAGGCCTCATAATGTTACTGTGATACTGTTAACTACTGGAGATGTTAAGAGGGCTAAGTGTTCTTGTCCAGCAGGTGCAAATGGGTATTGTAATCACACCATGGGTTTATTATATCTGATTGATCATGTCATTAAATTAAAGGCCCCTGAATTCCCAAGAATTGGAACATGCACAGACAACCCCCAACAGTGGCATAAACCAAGAACCCAGGGTATAAACCCTGAACCTATTATGGGATATAATGTGATCAATCCTAAATACAGGGACAAGAGCTCAGAGGGTTTAAAGTGTACTTTTTATGAAGCCAGACAACCAATGGTCCAAAATAACGAGGGGGCAAATAATTTATTTGATTCACTGAAAAGCGTTAATCCTTCTTTAGGATTCTGTACTGTGTTTGAACAAAAACCTGCAACGATTCCAACTAAATTAAATGGACACATGGTTCCATGTGGTAGTGTTTTAAGCTACCAGCTCTCCCTAACAGAAGCAAACTTCAATGTTTTAACAAATTTTCCAGTCTTGCAAAGACCCAGAGCTGTTGGTGATTACTTTCCTGACCTCCCCATTGAAACTAATGTACCAGCTGGAGTGGGATTGCAAATGCCCCTTTCTTATCAGGAGGACCGGTTTATTAGTCATTTGAATGTCCCTAATCCATCTTTGATTGAACGAGAAACTAGAGGTCAAAGCAACAACCCTTTGTGGTTTCAAAGTAGAAGACTAAGGTTAACTAGTAGCAATTTTGGACTTGTTTGCAACCGAAAACTTAACATATCTCAAACAAAGTTTGTTCAAAAAAATTTGCTGTCACCAAAGGATCTTTCCAATGTGCCTTCTATAAGGTACGGGATTTCAAACGAGGCTAAAGCGGCAAATAAGTATGCTGAATACATGACAGGTATTGGACATGACGTTCAGGTCTTAGAGTGCGGTCTTGTCGTATCCAGCACAATGCCATGGTTGGCTGCTTCACCAGACAGAAAGGTGATAGATAAAATATTTGGTTTTGGTTTGGTAGAAATCAAATGCCTCTATTCATTAAGACACCTGACACCTGAGGAGGCGTGTGCTGACCCAAGTTTTTATTGCCAACTAGTTAATGGTAAGCCTGAGCTTAAAAAGGATCACCCTTATTACTATCAAGTACAAGGCTAGATGGGTTTGGCAGGATTAAAGTGGTGTGATTTTGTAGTATTTTTTCAGAAAGGCCTTATTGTACAGCGAATAAAGTTTGATGAGCCATTTTGGAAGTCAATGATTACTAAACTAACAAACTTTTATCAGCAGCATGTAATGCCAGAGGCCATGAAGGTTTAAGTCTAAGGTTTAGAGAACCAAGGGACACCACTCTTAAAAGTTTCCACATGACACTAACTCTTTATTAAACTGTTCTATATTATCAGTTTTAATGTTGTAATGGATATACTTTGTATGAAAAAGGTATCTTAAACATCACCTGTTGAATAAAATGTTGACATACAAGCATTCCATCTAGAAGGCTCCTAAGTAAGTTTATTTTATTTAGTAGCTCAGAGACTTTGATAGGGCAATTGGAACACTCAGTTACATTTGAATCTGTAACATAAGGCAAACATGACACTGATAATTACTCAAGAGATAACAGAACAACTACAAATCTACTGTCATGAAATGATCGGTTTTTGAAAAAGAGTCAGCAATCCACATACAGTCCATAACTGGTTGATAGAGCCAGCCAGAGATAATGGAATAACTTGATCAAATAGATGAAAGTTTTTAATCTTATTAATGTCCCTTTCAACATGTATTCTCTCGGCAGCTATTTGCTGTGTCTCTAGAACATCTTGAACAGGCATTTGGTCTTGCATGTGCAAAAAAGGAGGCATATTTAACTTGACACTGATTGGATCTAGCAAGTCCTGGATGTCGAATCCTTTATCTGCCATTAAACTGTCGCCTACTTGAAATGGCATTTTAAGAATACCACAGCGTTCAGTAATTTCCCTGTCTGATATTGAGCCAGTGTACAGCTGAGATATAAATGTTATGGATCCACTTGGAGAAATGCCAACTAGCCCTTTTAATGTATTGGCACTTTTGTAGTTTGAGTACGTTTGAGATTTTAGGACCAGCGAAGAAGGCATTTCTACTTTTATTTCGGTACAGTCAATGATGACCCTAGTGTCTTTGTATTTTGCTTTGAATGAATCTGGCATTGTTGCTAATATTGTTTCTTTACTTGGCCAGATGCTTAATGATCCAAGTCTTAGATATAGAAAGTTAACCCAAGAAATAACAATGTTACTTACAGTCCCAATAGAAATGTTAAACCTAAATGCAAGATCACATTCAAAGAGCCCAACCCTAACCCTACAAAGGAATAAAAAGAACTGATTGGAAGGAGATAGTTTTCTGGGCCGTCCACGTTTTTGCAGGGGTGTAGACTCTATGTCAGGTCTTGGATCAGTTCGAGTGTACACTAAATTTTTACCATTGGGACCTGGGTTAAGATAAGTTAACACCGCATTGTAGACTTCACGATTAGGAAATCCAGTATAAAAACAGATATCTTTGTCTTCAATATTCTCAATACAGAATTCCATTCCACTTAATGTTTCCTCAAGCTGTTTGATCTTGTTGTTAGCTGTTTTTACCTGCTCCCTTAGTGTTACAACTTTAGCTTTTAGCTCAGATATTTCTTCGTCGGTTTTGTGAAAGTTTTCTCCTCAGAAGTATCACTTGACTCAATAAACACTTCAGCCGATTCAATCTCGTTTCCAGTACGACTAGGATCACCTCTTTGATGTTTACAACTGGTTTCACTCGATCGAATCTGATTCTTGTTCAGCTTCCTCTTATTCTGAACCTTAGGGATTAGGTATGGCTTGTGCTCCCAGCATTCGAATACAGAGGGAAGTCTGCCAGTTTTCACAAACCACCTACAACTAAAACTAGAATACTCTAAGTCCTCATCCGTAAAATGAAGGGAGCAGACGACTGTATGCTTCTGCACCTAGAGAAAAAGCGATATGTAAGAGATCGGTGAAGCAGTGCAATTGAACTCACAATCACAGAAAAGAATTAGTTCCACACCTTAAAAGTTGAGTTTTCCTCCCTTCTAATACGCTGCAGCCATGCTTGCTTTACATTTAAATCGCTTGGTATCTTATGGTAAGTCACATTTCTGTTAAGCTTGTTATCAAATATTACCCGTGGGACTTGCAGAGAGGAACCGCACAATTCGATTATTAGAGCCTAGGAAAAGATGTGAAAGCAGTAGTTAATGTTTGTACGAAAAAAAATGGAATAAAGCGATTCAGACTGACCTGTCTGGGTCTCTCTTCCTGACATGATGAGATCTCACGAGTCACAACTCAATGACGGCGGCTGAAATCTTTCCGCGATTGACGTCATAAATTAAAAATTCAAGATGGCGCCCCGAATTATTAAAAGCGTGTATAGATCTGCGTCACTGACAAACTCACAGGTCCCAACAAGCCTTGCATGCTCACAAAGGATGCGGATGCATGTCATGTCCCCTGACTCTAGACTGGTGTTAGTTTATTCTTTCCATCATACAAAGATACTTTTACAACTTAAGAAAATAGAGAATTCGCACTACCCTCTGATTTACTAGGAAATGCCATCACTCAACTAGTAACTTAGTTGGTTCTATAAATATTTTAACAGTAGAATGTATAGAATGCCACAGAAACAAATGGGAAGTTGAATGGTTTGGAATTGTGGTCGAAGTTGGTCTTATCTGTATGCAAATCATCTACCCTTTTGCTTACTTTCCAACAAACTGAAATATGCTGGCTTTTTTTACGACTTTTCGATTTGCCTTATTACTTTTGTGAAAGCTGAATTCTTTGATGTGAATGTAAGCTTTCAAAAGGAAAAACTTTGAGAAAATGTTGTGTTTACAACTACTGTGTTGCATATCTATTTCATTCCACTCATACCTATATGCAAATTCCCCTTAATTCGGCAGATCTCGTGGGAGACAAAAATGTCGCCTTTGATTTCTCAGTTGCTTGCCTTCTTGGGCACCCTTTTTATTTTGACTATCGGGATTTTTTAAGCTTCACTTCAGACTTTTCATTCCACATTTTAATGTGGAAAGGTTTTGAGAAATGCTGTTAACTTAATTCATGCAATACACTGTCAAGACTGCATAACTTTATCTTTCTGAGATCTTTTGTTATTCTGTTGTCTCCTAAACCAATCAAGATGTTTCACCAATTTCCACCTACAAATAATAGGAGAAATATGATTGATACAAAAAATTGCATGTATTAATGACTCGTTTCTATAGGCGCGATTCTGTAATGTGTCTCTGTCATTGTTTTTAAAGTTGCACTGTCAATTTTGGCTTGAAAGCTCGGAAAGCAAGGTGCCTTTTGAACAAAATCCAGAACCGCTTAGTTGTTTTCAGGTGCCCAGACCATTTGTTGCCCTCCTTTTTCAGTTAAACAGAATACCCCAATAGTGTATGTGGTACCGTAAGCAAGGGTCCATCTCAGTAACAACGCATCTTTGCCCACTTTTTCAAGCACAAGACTGGCTCCTAAAAACGTGGATGTGCGGCTGAAAAGAAATCTTATCCTCCTAGAAGGCTTTTTAGCATTTACAGGGTCTAAAGGTTCTGCCAGGTCCGAATTACTACAGTCTGATGAACTGTCACACTTTTCCACCTGACCAGGCTTAATCTGTCAAAACAACATGAAATTAGTATTGTTTAGGTTGATGACTAAGATACTGTTGTAGAAGGTCATTATTAATGCAAAAGGGGGCCAAAAAATATTTTCCAGCGCTCCTTTTCAATTTTAATTGATTGTCATGCTTTGTGCTCTTTTTAGACTTCACAGAACCCTCTTCCTTGCAACCTACGCCAACTACATATTTACGTACGTACGTGGACTTGAGTTGTTGGAGGCAGTTTCATTTCAGCATTGCGACCAGAGAGCCAGTAAATGGACACAAAGACTGCTGAAAACAAGAAACTAGCTTGAGGCTAACTAACATTCATTCTTTCATTGTACTGATGCTATTCTGGGCGCGCGCTGCAATCCACACTTACTACTTTTTAACTGCATCGTTTATAAAGGTTTCAACTCTAAATTACTGAGATATATACTGCTTGATTCACATTTTTAAGCCTTCATCCTACCTTGACATTGGAAAAATCCACCTAGCGGATCCATGTGGCTCATTGGATCCTTGATCTTCTCTTTCTTCCTCTGCAATCAACATGATTTTTTTTCACGTGAAACTACTGATGAAAATGCCACGACGAAGAAAGACTTTTCAAACTCAATTTGAATCTGTCACATCGTGGTATGAAAAAAATCGTGGTCTTGCTGTGTTTTAACTTCGAACCCTGACACGTCATTCACTGTGTCAAATATTAAACGTATCCATTGATCATGACTGATAAATAACTCTAGATAACTGTGAAACACGAGGAGAGTAGAGAAAAACTTATAAAAACAGTGTTTAAAAACTAGGAATTGCTGTTCTACATTTTAAATTAAGGCTGTGTTTTGTGCGAAATTGGGTATTGCTGTACATTAATGAAAACAAGAACTGCAGCACATAGCTGATTTGATGTGATAAATTCACTTTACTTTGTCTTTCCTTCAGAAATCTGGTGCAAAATAAACAAATAATTGAAAAAGTACTATGAATATCGACTCGCCAAACGTTGCTTAGAGGGAAGACTCGAAGGCTTCGAGCTTTCTTGATGGTTTTCTTTTGCTCTTGTACGCAGATACAACACTACACTTTCCAAAGTAATTGATTGTCACGCCCCACTTAAGACTAAGACTGTGAAAGTTAGACCTGCAGTTCCTTGGTACAACGATGATATAAAGGCCGCTAAACGCTTGCGACATAAGGCTGAGAGAACAGGCCATCCCTCAAGGTGTCCACCACCAACTCAGGTGTGGGGTAATCATCTAAAGGAGCTTTCAGGAAACCGTCTGCGTATTGGCGGGCCCAAATGCTCTCTTGCTTGGGGTGAGGCTTTGCAAACTCTGGTGCAAAAGGGTCAACCCGAATCTGTTCCAACCGAATCCTGTGGGAAGAATTTCTTCTAAGATCGCAGAAATTGTAGTTGTGGTGGTTGCCCACCCACTGCCCATTCTTGCTCCAAAAATCTTCCGGGACGTCAGAGCCAGTGAGGTCGAGACGGCATTCTTGTTGACCAAAATTAGCCCTCATGTAGGAAATAAGCAAAACAGCAAAGTGGCACAAGATAAGCACATCTACGTAGGTTTAACGCGTAATAAAATTTTTACGCAGACTTAACTGGGGTTGGCGTTGTACATAATTGAACCAGATGGCCAGGAAGTGGGTGACAATGGCTGCGTACTTCACTCTTGTCTTCAGGGAAGCGACGCTGCTGCAGAAGATTTCCACATAGTACCAGACTATTAAGAGATATGTCTTTGTCCCAAACCAAGTTGGATTAGGCTGCTGGTTGCCACCGTCTCTGTTCATTAGCCTTTCAAGACAATTCTTCACTTTAGGAAAGGAAAGTTTCTGCACAGAAGCCCAATTCTGTCTGTCCCGACGCACTATGTCACTTGATCCTAAACCATGCTCATCTAACGGAAAGACATCATGGACGAGCTTCAGGTGATTCATGTGCTCAAGGTATGGGCCCATAGTTAACACTCGAGTTGCGTGATCAAGGGGATTCAGCAGCTTCTTGTGATTATGAATATAATTCTGGTCACATAATTCATGGAGCACATAGAATCCATCGGGTTGGTCTTCTCTACGGCAGATGAAAATGAATCCCAAGTCAAGAGATATTGGTTGGAATTTGTGGTCAATGACTTCACTGTTACAGAGCTGAAGCATCATCTTCCTCCTCCTAGAATCGCCGTCAGAGCTGTTGCCTATCAGAGGGCCTACAATAGGTTCTATTTCAGCCTCATAGAGCCTTTGTACTCCTGGCCATTGCCTGAAGACAAAATCCGAGTCAAACTTCTTACATGTAGCCATAATTAACACAGGTAGGCGAGGTAGTTTTGGGTGGAGGGGATTCAGGATAATAGCTTGTGCGAACGTCCCAATTTTGTAGCTGTTAAACGCCGATGTTATGGCCTTGTAGCCTTCTTCCCCATCACCAACTGGCACACAGAAGGAATCAAGACACTGATAATGATGATCACCATTGACACCACAGAAACCAAGGACCTCATCTTTACCTTCATTGTAGGTAACCTGACCAATGATGGCAGTTTCGTCTTCAGCTGCCAAAACCAGAACTGACAACAAACCATGAATTTTTCTCATACTCACATGCAAGCTTCTTAAAATTTTTTAACGGGATTCCTCCATTTAATGCGACGCGGTGCTGACAATGCCATCGGTAGATTGAATGCACTTCCGGTCCACACAGGTTTAAAGCACAAAATTAGCAAGCCGGGGCCTACCCCAGAGGAGGATAACCTCTAGGAAGAGTTTGAAAGATGCCTGTAACGGCATTGATCCACACACAACAGACGTTTCAACTCCATTTTATTCGTAGAGAACTAGTAGGTAAAACCTGGGTGACAAAATTACAAAATGCGCCTTGTAATGATGCGAAGTCAACAACATTGAAAATGCAAGTAGCAAGAGAAATTAAATTTCACATTGTTCATACACACGTTGTTGTTCGTTCTCTGCCGTTCTGAACATCGACACTGTCCTTTGTCGACTAAGATAAACCTGAACGAAAATCTCGGACGAAAATACAGGCACCATAACACAACGACACCATCTTACAAAAGCACATGGTCCTTCCATCCGCGCAAGGGATGATGGGTGTAAATGGCAAAAACCGCTGGCTCAAAACAGCACTGAAGGTTCAACAACCTTAAATCGTAGTGAATTAATTACTGTCTGGAAAAACAACAAGATTAACATAAAAGTTCCTGACACAATGCCTGATAACGTCTACCATTCTTTTGGACGTGAAAGTTTCTCACAAACGTCGTCAACACTCCTGTTAATGTCTGCTTATCATCCAGTATCGTCGAAGTTGGCTTGAAAAATGCCGTTAATTGTCGCGAGGAAACGGATCGTAGTCTGCTCATGTTCTGTTTGTGGGTAGCACTTCCTACATGCTGTGACAGATTACCAAACAAATTTCCAATCAATGAAATTTCTTTGGTACACCCTCGACAGACCACACTGCTTGTCTTGTGGATGAAAACGTCTGTGAATTTTTCGTCAATCTGTGCTTTAATCTTCGCCAGATCAGCTGGAATGTTTGAATCCCTTGCATGGGCAATCATAACATTCGTCTTATGCAATTGTGTGCAAGTAGGGCCCCTGTTGAGCATTTCGTAATGCAATTTCGATTTTGTACAAGCTGCAAAATGCAAAGGGCTTGTTCCTTTTAAACTTTAAGGCTACATTTTCACAACCTATACCCTCTTTAGAGACTACCGCATCAATTTTCTTTTGTAGTTCTAAAGCTACACCATTGGACTTGTTCATACGCTTTGAAGTGGCTTCTTTTTCTTGTGTGTGTGAGCCAAGGTCTTCCTGAATTTCCACCTCATCATCGACACTAACCTCACTTGAGTGAGGCTCGTTGGACTGCTCTTTACTAGGCGTGCCAAATTCTTCTCCAACAGCACTGTCGTCATCAATACTGACTGAGCAGTCTGAGCAGGGTTTGTCTGTTTGTTTCATATCAGCGCTGTCACCTTTACCTCGTTCATCGTTATTATCTTGAGGGGGCTCATTTTTGGGGCTCGTTCCAATGGTTCTTCACAAGAATGCTTTGCTGGGGGATGCCCACAGTATTCACAAAGAAGACCTTCTTGTGTCTCATATCTCATATTCATCACTTTGGCAACTTAAGCATTGCCCTCTTTTAACTCCTCTTTTGTCTTTGCCCATATTTCCTACGGAACAATCCGGTTAGCAATTATCGGAAAAGATTTTGTTTTCTGTAGGAACATATTTTGTTTTCGAGTTAATTTAACTGGTTATATTGTTGCTACGGTAACTATTTATGTCAAGGAAATTACCACAACTTGTTGACCAATAGTAGGCTATTGGTTTGATACCATTATCGGAGCAGCAAATGATTAACAGTGCCAAAACTGAATAAGGATTGGAAAGTGCTAGAAACCATTATGAGCCATCTTAAGTTTAAAACGTGCATGCATATAAATTAGGTAACACATACATTTCATGCTACCGGCATGATCAATAGGAGCCACTATCAACATTATCTTAAATCGAATCATAGATTGCTGGCATGACAATAACTCACAACAATTTCCGCTGAACGTCTCTGGACATGTGAAATAGAGGTTCGATTCTTGCACTAAACTAAATCCCGGGCACTAAGAAGCGATGGCAGGACCAGGGATGATGAAAACGTCGATTCCTTGAAAGATGCGGAAGACACTGCTATAATCAAGGTCCATTGTGTGGTTAAGGGATACCAAGAATGTAAATTCAATGTTAACACTGGAGAGGAATTTTTCGCGTTGAGATAGCATGATAAAAAATGATGAATTCGATACCCTGTTTAAGACAAAAATCCTGAAAAACATACCCTGGCTGGCCGCACATTCCCATTAAGCCCTTATAGGGAAGTACCCCCCAGGGCTTCAAGCAGCGTTAAGGTTGATAGCGTAACATTCATTTCCTTCCAAGAAAATTATCAAACTGCCGACATATATTTCTACTCATTTCATGTTATTCCTCTCAATAAAACAATATCCAATTAGTGTCAACTAGCTTCTTCCAAATTCATTTCCTAACGCAACTGCTTCTACTTAAGGCCTGGTTTCTATATGATCTCTACAATCGCTGTGATTCCTGAGAAAACAGAATAGACACATCGTGGTTCTTCCCACAGGTTGCTTGTCAAGCTCACTGCTGCATTCAGTGCTAATAAATAGCAATGGGAGAAACAAACGTGTGTAAAGAAGTGGCAAGTTTTTTTTCGTCAAATGCAACAACACCCTGAATTTCAGCCATTTTCTCCAGTAACAAACTCTCACCACTTCCCAACTGAAGGACACAGGTAAAATTAACACCAACTTTTTAAACAATGCTATTTCCACACTGTAGGAACAGCATTTTTGAAAAAGTTGAAGAAAATACTATGTCAAGAGAAAACAGTTGTTTCAATATTCACAATTCAAAACAATATGAAACGTTTGCTTGCTATTAAAGGGTAACAACTTCATCTGTGAACTGCGCATCGTAAAATTTGCAACCGAGTTTTTACACTTACTTATCACCTTAAACATTATAAATTGCAACTAATTACGTGAAAAATAGCTTTAAAGTCAAGATAATTGATTCAATGTTTAACTTACACATCTTTCTACTTGTAAGCTCACCAAACAGACAAAAGGAGAAGTAGACCTATTTTCCAGAGAGTTTGAAAGTTAACAATGCACCTTGTCTTTCAAAGTCGCTTGGAAATCATACTGTTGGTTATCAAAAAGATTGATTTTCAAAGTGTAAAAACAAGAATTTTTTATTGGCTTATGTTTGTCTTAACATCGATAACTAATTGACAGATGATCAAGTGCAGTATCCTGGCATCCAGTTGAAATATTTTCAACTTCTGTTCGCTTGTCTGTGATGATTATTTGACTGTTAATTTGTAGTCTTATTTCGCGTAAGACACCACTGTACAATTTGCCGAATTCCCTACAAACACGCCAAAATAATCTCTCATTTCTTGCCCAAACTTCAGTGAATCTTGTTTACCGAAAGCAGTTAAATCCCCTTTCTTGACAAGATATTTCTTGCATTTTCTCCAGTACAACGCCTCTCTGTAACGGATCCAGTGAAATCCTAATTTAGCCTCCTTGGTATCTGGCGAATGATTTCTGCCTATACCCGGCTAATTTTTGGTTCCTTGTGACTTTCTATTGTAACTTCTAACGAGTGTAATTCATTATTCATATTTGTTTAAAAGAACCCATTATTATTATTTTTTTTTTATTTTATTATTTTGCAACACAGAGTAAATTACAATTAGAATAAAAAAGATAGTAAATACGTTAATTAAATTTAAAACGAGCAATACAACTTGGAAGGGGAGACTGTGGCGGGGAAATCTCCAAGAAGCCGAGCTTATGAGGAATAGAGTTTTCCCCCCACGGGCAATTTAAATACCAGGCGGCATTTAAAAGTAAAGAAAAAACGTGTATTTTAAGTATGTGTGTTTGGAGAAAAATATAGATATAAGGTGTTAAGGTATTTAGGTTGTATCTTGTCTGACCCTTAAAAATGGTTTGATCAGACGCTTGAATATATTAAAAGTCGGGGTGTTTGGTAATGAATTCCATATTCTAGGACCTTGAAACAGGATCAAAAATTTTTAATATTTGTTCTACAGGTATGAGGTCGGTAAAAGTCAGAGTATCTTGTTGAATATTGATGAACCTGATTTCCAGTATGAAAATTTGAGTAAAAGCAATAGGTAAAGCGTCATTATGATATAGGTACATGAAAGAACTTACTTGGAGCGAGTATATACTAAAAACATCAAGAATATTCAAATTTGCAAAAAGAGGAGTTTACTTGAAGCCTTGTAGTCAGCCTTAACAGATCGCCCAGACTGCTCTTTTCTGTAGTAGGTAAATTCGTTGCAGGTTGGTGACATAGGTCCCAATTAAATTGCAGTAAGTAAGATATGAATAAATAAGTGCATAGTATAGTGTAAGAAGGGATTTTGAGGACAAATAGTATTTAGCTTTATAATGTTACCCAACAGATTTAGAAATCTTAGCGGCAATAAAATTAATATGAGTTTTCCACATAAGGTGCTGATCAATATAAACCCCAAGGAACTTACTGTAATTTACTTGTTCAAGTACATTATTTTCTATAATAATCTGCCTTATGATAGGTAACGTTTTTTGCCTTGGTCTGAAAATCATTAGTTTTGTTTTCTTAACGTTGATGGATAACTTGTTGGCTTTTAGCCAAGTTGAAACATTGTGAAGCTGGTCGTTAAGATGGGAGGTAAACACATCCAGGTCACTATGTTCAAAAACTATACTGGTGTCATCAGCAAATAATATAAATTCGAGTTCGTTAGAGCTAGAACAGGCCGGGAGATCATTGATGTAAATAATAAAAAAGAGGGGGCCTAGTATAGAGCCTTGCGGTACGCCACAAATTTGTCTTAACGCATCGGATTTAGAATCGTCAATTTGGACGTATTGCATTCTATTACGAAAATAGTCAGTTATCCGTTGATGGGCTCTCCCAGTGATGCCACATGCTTCCAATTTTGATAGCAATATTGCGTGATCTAGGGT